ATCATAACATATAATTAAACCATTTTAACGTTACATTTGAGCTAAATAAGTTTTTTTCTTTTGTTAAAATATATTCAACATTAAAAATGAATTATATATAAGCAGACACATGATACACATAAACAGCATAAACCCTGCTAGATTGCCAAACTATTTATATCTCCATGCTTTCTGGTTATGTAGGCAAAATAATAATTATTACTGGATAGCACAAAAACAGAATATGTATTTCTTCTAAGACAATAGGATTAAAAATACAGTTCTTACTTTTTTTACGAAACGTAAATGCTTAGTAGTGATCAGACAAGATGAGGGCACTTCGTTAAAAGTTCTAAAAATAAATTCCAGATATACGGTTAATTTTTGGGTTGAATTTCTGAACGTATCACTTGAAAAGGTCACGAGGGTTTAAATACAATAGTTATTGGGATTTCCTTAGCGGTATCTCAATGCATAATTTGTCCGGAATTAAAGATAAAGTCGTCTTCCAAAACTCGTACGCTATGATCTACAAGAAACTTTCTCATAATACAACGGTTTCAGGCTTTACATTTTAAGATTTATTCGATTTGTAAATCTGTAGATAACATTTACCTGTGGTAGTTGATTTGTTATTTAAATTAAACATTTTACGGTTGTTATTTTAATTAAAAAATAATATACATATAGCTCAGCGGGTAATCAAACCACGCTTCATTTGAAGTACATCCGCAAGTACATACGTTATAACAACCGCTACTGATTGTATTTCCTTTGAGGACCGGGTTCTAAAATCCAATAATTGATGCTCAGTATCTATTTCTGACTTTATGTGAAATCAATTCAGTTAAACCTGAAGTAAGGTTTACAACATCTCTTTTAGGTAATGCCTATCAAATAGGAAGATTGAAAAGAATAATTTAAAGTACATCTAAGCTGTTTTCAACCTTTTTTAAATTCTCACCAAGAAATTCGTATTGCAAAAATAATACCCATATTAACACGTCTAACAACTGTGAAAGCTATTATACAAAGGACGGTTATTTTAAAAGGTAGTTCTTAAAGAAACATATTTATACATTTTCTTTGCTAAAAACACATTTCAGATTCCGTAATACTATCCTCAAATTTAAAGAAACTATGCAATAGCAAAGTTACAACGCTTAATGTGTTGGTATGTTGGTAAATGTAACCTCTACGCAGCCGTTCAGTTTATGTAAGTACCGTTCATATAGTTTAGAAAGCAACACCCTTGATAATAAAAACAAAAATATTTTTTCATAAGTACTTTTTTCAAACGTCACATAATAATCAATCTAAATCACGTTCTCAATTTAAACTGATAGGATTTCATTTTACACGTTAAGGAGAAGAAAGAGCGTAGAATTGGTCTGTGGTCGTGCGCATGACACTTGCCTAGCTGTCCCGCGCATGTCTCTTAGCCTGCTAACTAGAGTGCGCAGGTGCAGAACTAATGCGACAATCTATTGATACCTGTCTATTACCAGCCACTGTCCACTGACAAACCAGGCCACTGACCCAGTAAAGAAGCGAACGTCTACTTTAAACGTTCTGCAAAAATAGTTTTGAAGTTTACCGAGCAAGTTTTTTCGTCAGGAATATATGTCTAAAATGATTGGAAATAACCCGGACGCTATTGTTTTCCTATACCGTTATGAGTCATTTCGTCCTTAAAAAAGGCCAACGTAGTGTTTCCCTTTGTTCAGACAGTGTTTCTATAACGTTGCGAATACATGCGCCGTTAATAAACTAATTTTACATATCAAGATACATAGAATGATAAAAATGAATATGTCTAGTGACGGATTTTGAACTACATACAAATTTATGTATAGAAAAGTAAATTTAACAAAGAATAATTTTAATAATTGATTATCTTTTTGTTATATGATTATTACTGCTGTGTGATAAAACCATACTGTTTTTGATATGCAAACTTGTATTCCACAAAAACAATCATAAATATAATTTAAAGCTAAAATATAAAGCCAAAAGAAAACTGAACATTTTTGAATATAAGAATAATAGTTTGCGTACCATAGCAGCAATCGCGTTAGGATAGCATTTAAGGCACGAACAGAAAATTTTAGTACGAACCTTGGCGAGTGCCTTTAAACCTCCTAAGAGTGTCATAAAGGCTAACTACGTGAGTTGTGTACACTACTTTACCTACGACCATTTCAAAATTACTAAATTCACTACTCATAACTTCTATGAGAGGTTATGTTTTCATTTATAACCTCTCTTTGACAATGATTTTGAGGCAAGGACTTATAATGCCAGCCACTCAATCATTGTTTAAAAAATTAAATCGGTCTTAACAACTGAAAAGGTGTAGGTTTGATGTACAGTATTACAATTCTACTTCTCTTCTCCCAATTATGAACCTCAAAGAAATAAAGAAAGAAATGAAGAAGAATAGAAATAAAGAAATATTGAAATATCGTATCGCATTGTTCCAAACTTGTACTTCAAAGTAAAAAAACAATGCTGTAAAGTGAATCTTTTTTAACTCTAAGAACTGAATTGAAAAGGCTATTAAAAAAATATTTGCAGGATTACTATTTTATTGTTTTTCATATAAACCTATGATGTGATTTGAATTGTATTTTAATCGTTAAAGAAACCTGATCACTATGGAACTGTTATGCCTCATAACATAACTCGATCTGTCCATAATAATCTATGTATTTCTTGAATTACGTATAAACTACTTTATGGAGACATGTTAAACTTAACATATTTTAATAGATGTTATACCTTAGGAGCAAAACACGTATTGTACAATTATATTTTTTTTTATTATGGCCACTAATATCTACAAACACCTCATGCCACTAATACAAAACTAAGGCTACTACTGCGTATATCTTGTGACCTACATAGAATGTTTCCACTGCATGGTTTTATGTTTAAATGCTAAATGTATCTCTTAATGCCATATGTTAAGCCACTGTATATTGTATTTAGTTTGTCATTTTCGAAGTTTAAACACCTAATAATTTTTTTTTTTTTTTATTTAATTTACCGTGTTTCGTATGTATAAGAAAATTTCAGGAGATCCTTTTGTGTTTTAAAGGTATGATGAGCGCATTTACGATATTTTACTCATGCCACAATACGATCTGGTAATATATTATCATATTATCTTGCTTGAAAGTAGCATGCGAAAGTCTTTTTACCTTGTAAAGCTACAGATGTTTACAAAAGATGAAAGAGCCGCATCTATTCCCTCGTCAACTGTTTACAAACTCACCAGGAAAGTGATGCAAAATTCATAGAATGGTAAAGGGAAGTGGGACTTTTCATTTTACCCTCTCTGCCGCTGTCAAAGGTGGTTTCCTGAACAAGGTAATATTTCATCTGGACCTCAGAATGTCATGCACAATGTCATGTTCACAATTAATTGTACATTAAACATATTTTACTAAATAAACTTATTTGTACTTGTAAATAAAAAAATAAACTACTTAATAGTATATAAGTTGTAAATACTAATCTCATAAATTCACATCGAAGCGAAATCGAGAATATTTTAGTAAGGTTTGAGATGGAAAATTGAGAAATGCGGTGCAAATGAAATCCTTTGAAAGTCTTGTAAACATTAACACGTGGTGAATTGTTAATGGGGCACTCTCCGTTAACCTCAAAGTCAAAATAAATTCAATGGCGGCGACCGTCGGGGGCGCATGCGCTTCCGATGACCCACTTTCAGCTGCTGATAAAACGTGCACCTGATACGCTTTAAGCTTTAATAAAAATTAAAGCCTGGATGAACACGGGCTTAGTGTGTGCATCTGACACATTATTTCTAAACACTGAGCAATTATAGCAGCAGCGGATTAAATATTATTTGATCGCAATATGCGTTGTTTACTTATAAAATTATTGTGTCCTGGTTTTATTTGTGAATTTAATTTGTGGATTTATTAATGAACTAGTTTTTCTTGTTACTCTTTAAAAACTTGTGTATATGGTAGTACAATTATAAATGTTATTGACGGTGTCGGTGTCATTTGAAAAAGCTGTATGTAGAAACACACATTGATACAAAACAATAATACTAAAAAATTAATTCTTTGTGATATTGTTCATTTGAATAAAGGGTTTTGACTGAAAATATCACTATCACTAATTGTTGAATGAATATATAACCAATATTTGTTATTATTTCCTAAATTGCAATTAATACTATAAAAATGAAAGTGGTTTGTTAATGAGGGTATCAGTATTCAGGCATGCGGGAATCTCATTAATTATATTAAGGGGTCGTGTATGACATAAAATGAAAATGCTAATGCGTTCCGGTTAATCAGGATAATATTTAAACATGGGATTTATCCTTGCTTTTAAAATTTGCTAAGCCTAAAATCAATATATTAAATAGTGATTTTTTCATTGTAATATAAACACAGCAGAATTAAACTCATGTTTATTTTAATGTTTTTTGTTGGAAATAATAATTTCAATCGGATTTTGAAATATTTTAATATATGCATTTAGTATAGTATTTATTCATTTAGTAGAGACATGATTTAGATTTTAAGATCGTGTGTCGTAAGCTAGTGTTGTAACTATGTTTCCTTGATGTTATGGATTTAATAGTAAGCTATCAATGTATATGTTTGTGATAAAAAGTATTTATCTAATATACTTCAAGAACTGGCATAAGTAGAGCATCAAGTTTCTCTAAGACAACCTTAACCTGCAACGTAAATATCAATTTCTCTCAGAGTTGTATACTTTTTAAGTTATACATCTCATGTGAGCACAAGTTATTGTATTACGTACGTCATTATTAAAGCTAATTATTTCCACTTATATCGACATCTTTGAAACGATATTGCAGTAAATATTTTAATACCACAATTTACCATTGCTGAGTCATACACTCAAGGCTTAAAAATTGATAAATCAACCTTAACACCAAACATTTATCCTCAAAATGAGGCATAATAACCTAAACAAAATACTGTTTACAGAACAAAACAGTCGCTCACCACTTAAAACGAGGGCCAGAAATAGCGCTGCAACTAGGTTCGGGGCGATCCAAATAGTTCTCCTCGAAACTTCCATAATAGATCCGCTGAAAGAATCCACGGATATCCTAAATATGCGAACAATCCTTTTTCACGCAGTACCACCACGTAAACGCAATTCCTAAACGCGTGTTAGAGAACGTTGACCACCTAACCTCTAACATACGGTCTGTTCGACGGTCAGACGCATACTGAGCATATCGTCGTCTAGCGCTACGGTGGCGCTCACGGTAGAGAAACCGGGAACTAGCATTGATTGTCAGAGCTTGGGTGTCAAGTGCAACTCGCTTTTTTCATCTTTTGTTATCGTTATCCTTTGAGATGACGTGGGTTTAGGGTTTACCGTTTATGTGTTTATCAAGAGGAAGGCTGTTTATTAATAGTATTTTACAATTTATAAATAAATAAACGAAGGCAAAACCTGCGTACTTTAATCGCAAGACGTTCCACTTTGTAATAGTACGACAAACTAGCTCAGTTAACACAAAATATTATACAAACATATTTCATTTTAGGTACCTTCCAATTAAAAATATTGATTAAAATATTAATCCAGTTTTTCTTACAATGTAACTTTATCTCAATATTTAATTATTTAAAGTTCCTTATATTTGTGAATTTCATGAACCGATGTAAATTTTTGCTTGAATAAGTGTAGTAGTTATATAACTTTTGCAAACAATGAACGGTCATTAATTTGTTTTGTAAACATTTAAAATTAATAATATTTTCTTTAATGCAAAGTATGGATTTGGGAAGACGTGTGGTTATAATGCGGCCCTTTATACGTGATGGGCACTGGTTCAATAGCGAGCGATGCTGTGTCTACTAACCCTAACCCAGATAAAATTTCTAACCGAACTATAATAAGTTTTCTAATTATGGTTCCCGTTAAACACTGCTAGGATTAGGGTTTGAGTCGTTCCTCCCCCAAAAAATATTTAACAATTTCCAAAATGCTCTGATATAAAACCCCTTGTATACTATACTTCTTTACATTTCATAATATACCTGTGTATAAACCACTCCCTACGTTAACATAAAAAAATACTGCAATGCTCTCTACAAAAATCTGTAAATATATTGTTCCAATTTAATTTTTTTTACAACTAGTCATAAAGTGTATTACTTATAATAATCAATATCCACCCTAATATTTGCACGTTGTTTGGTCTGATAGATTTCAATAAAATCTAGGTTATTATTCTCGTATCTAAACATAAGATTGTCGGCGAAAGCTGGTGATTGAATATACAATTAAGATAAGCTCTGCTTTACTATAACAACGCATGCAACCTTGGCTTATTTAGAGAGTCTCGGGTGCTCATGTTTACATAAGATCGTACGATTAAATACATTAGCTATAAAGTAGATCTTACGTAAGATACGCTACATGATCTTTTTTTTTTTTGTTATTATTAAACTTTAAAAATATTTCAATCAATATTTGCAACATGTTATAGTACAAACGTTGTGTATAAATTCTGTGTTTATTGCATAATTATACAACTATATATAAATTAGGATCTGAATTTGTCTAGGTAATTATAATAGACTAAGTGGAACTAGTGATGGGTTATGTACTTTGTAAACAAACTTATATGTTGTAATGTTTAAATAACTGAAAACTATAACCTATACAAACAAAACCTTAAAGATCAATGCACGAATAAAGACTTTGAAAAAATATCAACCTATCAAGCCAAACATGATGAGAAGTTTAAATATTACACAAAGTAAACAGTAAAATGTATCGACTTAAAACACTCCATATATTCTGGTATGAAATGTATGCATTGTGCCTTGGTACATCGATTTCAATATTGAATAAGAACTTGCAATATTTGCAATAACTCTGCTACAATAATCTCAAAAATTTTATTTTATTGCATGTCGCCTAACCTCTTTTGTTTGCTGATTTAAAATAACAGTTAAAAATAAAATAGCACCAGAATTAACAAAAAAAATTTCGACTAGGCCTAATGTATTTTTACTATGACCTAATTAATTGCGATGATTTTAATAGTTATTTGTAATAGGATGGTAATATTCTTTATGTGTGTAAGTAAGGCTGCAATTAGATATAATGGATAATATGTTTGCTAGTGAATTTCCAGCATTATTGAGTAAACAAATCTACGAAAAATCTTTTTTCTACCGAATCTGCAATGTGCGCACGTATAAAAGAGTTTTGCATTTTTCAAAGCTATTGTAGGATGTGCTAAGTCCCTTTGATTAGGCTGTTTATGGGCTGATATTTTTACTCATATTATGGTAAATTTATTTTTTCTTGTTCACCGGTACTGGAATTTTGTTGTTTTATGAGTACAGCTTTGCAACATATCAAATAAAAGTATTTATTATAAATAAAGAAAGTTTACAGTTAAATTTAATTTAAAACACTAAAAGATTAAGAGTTTTCATAAAACGTAAATAATCTAATAAATGACTTACTTAATTCTGTGAGATATGTAGGGTCAACACCGACCTCATATTAGCATTGCTAATTTTATCTAGTAAAGGGTGTTCATTTGACGAAAACCCCTAAAACGTTGCTAAAAAGACAAGTTTTCCCGTTATTCGTTTTTAAATTGGAAAATGTATTGATGTAAAGAAACTTACTGATTTACCATATACAGCATAGATTTATTTAAATTATTGAATTCTAAAGGTTTGCTTTCATTCTACAAAATAATTAAAAGAATTTAATATATTACAAAATTATTAGAAGAATATAGGTATCTAAGGTTTACTTTCATTTCAGAATATAATTAGAAAAAACTTGTCTAGTAAAAAAATATATTTTAGGTATAGAAACTGTTTTCTCAAATGAAAAACTGGCAAATATATACAATGGTTCATATACTTAACGAAATAACATTTTTACTAGGTCTTGCAAGGTATTTGATCTTTGTTTAATTTTATTTTGTACATAACTACCCCTTAAGCCTTTGACATTTATAAAATTGTTGTTACAGAGGAATTCAAAACCTGCTCATGAATTATCTAACTTTGGACCTTATGCTATATAGCATGATTATAGCCTAACTATACATTAATATTTTCCTTTAATTAAACATAATCTTAATAGCCTAATGACAAAAGACTTTTGGGTCTGGATAAGATGACGCTTAGAATGGATCCAGCTACGTTGAGATTTGAATATGATCAGTATAACACTCAGATATCCAGAAAAAATATATATATTTAGTAACACATTTGCAAAATATATCAACCAGCTGTTGCTTTATACGGAAATAACATTACAACTAATTGGTGTTGGCCTATATGATATCATTCGTTTTAAATAGTGCCAGATTTTAAGTTTTTAACTATAAAAGGTCTCCATTAGCATATGAAGCAACGCATATTGCAACATTAAAAACTGGCTAGTTAATGAAAATAAATATTTCATTTAAAAAATTCTCAAATTCATTATAATTATTTTTATCAAACGTATTTGAACAACATGGAGTTTACTTGTTCACTATAATATTGCAATCATGGTACAAGGCATTGTGATACAACTAACCCATAGACCTCAAATTGAATTTTATTAATTAATTGCAAGATATAAAAATATGAAGTAAGTTATATTTGTACAAATCGAATAATAAGATGTTACTATTAAGATAATTATTTAATCTTTAAGTTTGGAAAAATAAAATATATAGCAATGTTAAATATTTAAGCTATAAATATAAATTATTAAGACGTTAGAACTCTGTATTTTGTCCGGAAGCAATATTTGCAAGGCCCCCAATAAAGTATATCGTGTACAAGGAGGAAGTTTAGGAAATTGCCTCTGTTTTCCCTTTTTCTATGTTTATAGCTATGTGTGTTTTTCTCTTTTATATTTAAAGGGTTTATATAATAATAGCATTTTGTTACAAACAGTTTCTTTGAATTGAAAATGTCATTATCTTTGGTAATATTTTTGCAGTTAAACAATTATTTAGAATAAATAATTATATTTTCTTATTGGGGGTTTCAATACTAATTGTATTTTATATTACATTTTTTTTTTATCTCAAATACGAGAAATCCAGGGGTTATTAGTTAGAGTAAAGAGTATCTGTTTATAAAGTTTGGTTTTGAATCATTGGCATCTAATAGGAGTTACTTCAATTAGTTTGGTATTTCATAACAACTATTCTCTTTGCTCTATCTATGGCGAAAATAAAGTTCTTAAACGAATAAAATATTATACTTACTAAAGGTTCAAAATAATAAAAGGTTCTTTTGCTTAGGCAATGGAGTGTTCAAATTAGTTAATTAAAATATAGTGATAATTTCCAGTAAAAAACTTAAATTGTACAGGTTTCCTGTTTAGGGTTTAGTTAGTATGTATGTATGTATTAAAACGTGGTAAAACCTATAGATATTTTCTATCATTATTTTACTTGCAGAGTGTTACAAAATAACCGTTTACTATCGGCAGATATAACAATATGAAAATGTTTTCCATATTTCCAAGCACAGCTGATAAAATTTCAAAACTAGTGTTTAAAGTGTGAAATATGTACTGTTTCAACATTGAGGATATATTTACAAAGATAATGTTTACGAAACTCTATTTACTACGCTCAATATTTACCAATAAAGGGAGTATTGATTACCTAATGTTGACCAACCAGATTAAAAATACCAATCTTGTTGAGGCCTTGTTGGCCGTACTCATCCTACAACACAAGGGATCTGTGAGATAAATAACGTGGAAACACCTTTTTATCAAATAATATTCCAATTAGTTCAGTGACTACAGTATAGTTTGTTACATATTTGTAATCATACAGTTTCGACAAAGCTTAAATTTAATTGTTTTAGAACGAAGACAGAGACGGAATAATAAGTTGAAACTCAAATATGGTAAATCTTGTTGAACCTGTTGTATAGTTAAATTAGTTGAATTTAATTTTGCACTTATTTCAATTAACTTACTACTTAGTACTTAATTAATTATAACTATGTTTTATTGAAAGTATATTTTTTTAAATAAAACCTCTAAATGTGCCCATTTCAGTATATAGTAAATATTTATTTTATAAAAGTTGTATTTGATAATCAATGCGCAACTTGTCCCAGGAAAGCCTTTGGATTATAGGATATATCATCTATTGAACTATATTTAACGGTAAAAAAAATAAACACATAGTCAGAAAGAAGCAAGAGT